AGAGAGAGAGAGAGAGAGAGAGAGAGAGAGAGAGAGAGAGAGAGAGAGAGAGAGAGAGAGAGAGAGAGAGAGAGAGAGAGAGAAAAGGGGGTGAGGAGGGGGAGCATGTATCCAGAGAGGTGAAGAAGCAAAGCGGAAGAGAAGAAGATAGGATATTGCCGATCTACTTCAGACAGAGATCCTGGTATATGTCGGAGATGGTGTTTTCCTTGAAGCAGTTGAATGCTGACGTGCAGTCTTTTAAGGAAAACATGTAAGTGAAAATTTTCCTCCAGTGTGATTTTGTATCTGAAGATTCTGAACATCACATCACTTCATTCCCACACCCGTGCCTCTCCTCTCCTATCCCATTCCTTCCATCACTCCTCTGCTCCTTCCATTCCTCGTTCCGTTCTCCCTCCCTTCTCATCTATGTATGTACGTACACCACCTACCCATCTACCTGCCTACCTAAATCGCCCATCCAGTTACACACCTATTTACCTGCCTAGCAACTTACAGGCCTAGCTTTCCCCCTTCCTGTCCAGCATCCTACCTTCCTCCTTCCCTCCCTCCTTCCCTCCCTTGCTGCATCCCTCCCTCTCTCCCTCCCTCCCTTCCTCCCTTCCTATCTCTCTCCCTACCTCCCACCGTCCCTCACTCACTGACTCCCTCCTTCCCTCCTTCCCTCCTTTCTTTTCTCCATCTCTCCTTCATTTCCTAGTTCTCTCTTCTTTTCCACCTGCAGTCCTTTTGTCCCTCCCTCCCTCCCTCCCTCCCTCTGTCACTCCGCTATCCATTTGTCCATCTATGCATCTGTTCTTTTGTGATGACAGTGACCTCTGGCAGACCACACCTTAAGCCCTAATGAAGCTGCGCATCATCAGCATCACAATCCATCATTGTTATCCTCCTCCTCCTCCTCCTCCTCATCATCATCATCATCATCATCATGACCACCACATCTCTTGCCCCAGTGAATCTGTCCATCATCACTGCCATCACAATTCATCATTGTCTGCATCAGTTTTCAATGTCGTCATCATCATTGTTGCAACCATCAGGGTCGCCGTGATTACCACCAGCACGCTCTGCCCAGAGCCACTATGGCCATGGCTTGGTCCTGGCTTGTACCCCATCAAACTCACCTTGTGCTCCATCACACCCACCTTGACAGCATGGCCATGGCTTGATGTCCCATGGCTTGCTCCTGGCATATGAACTGCATGGGAAATCTTTGAGCTGCATGGTTCGGAAAAGATTCCCCATGGCTTGCTCCTGGCATATGAACTGCATGCTCTTCTGTTTTGGACACAATTAGTTTGCTATTAAGCTGAGCGCTGTCATGGGGAACCTTTGAGCTGAGTTTTCAGAAGCAATACTACTGGTTTCTGCAGCTTTCAGTGTCTCTCGGGTCATGAACAATCTCCTCACTCTTTTGCTATTCTAGTGTAGTGTTGAACCCAACTTAGCGTCTACTCAACAAAAAATTAAAAATCAAATCCGACACCGAAGTCCGCTTGAAAAAACACCCAATGTCAGACTTCTATTCTAGCGTAGTGGTGTCTCTCTGCTGAGGCTAATGGTTAATGTCCGCAGTACACACACACGCTCTCGCGCGCACACGCACACGCACACGCACACGCACACACACACACACACACACACACACACACACACACGTGGTACAGGTGAAATCTTTTCTAGCATAGAGAAAACTTCTCCAGAAAGAAGGTTGTTTTGGGTTGATCCTTGGAATGCACAGCATTTCTCTGCCCTTCTCTTCCACGAACGTTTTTTTTTTTTTTTTTTTTTTCCGAGTCCAGGTTGTTGTACCGGTTGAATTCTTGTCATATCGGCAATCCGCCGTTTATTTGGTTATCCAGATGCATTGAACAACTTGAACGCGAAACTTGAAGCCTTTTGATTGGATGCTGTGGAAGAAGTATGTAGCCCTTGTGTACCATATTGAATCTCCCTGCTACTTACGTCGGCCGACGTATAGGCCAGCTGTCTATCCCTCGCTTCATGCCTGGACATAGACATTATCTCCCTGCGAAGCTATGTTTTACTTCTTCTATGCCCTTCCTGTTCTCCTCCTCCTCCTCCTCCTCCTCCTCCTCCTCCTCGTGAATTATAGGCCTGCAGTGAAACCAAACCCCACGACATTGCATAAGTGCCCTTTGACGCTAGTTTGGCATGGTTGTAATGACCCGCCAAAAACACAGACTGAGAACACTGCTGAATTCTGGGATTTTCCGCTGGAATGAATGCCTTGCTGAGATTCCCGCATTCCGCGGTGGTTTCCATGTCTCTGTGTGTGTGTGTGTGTGCCTGCTGCCTGCTGGTTTGCATGCCTGTCCGAGTGCTTGTCAGCTGAGTGTGTGTGTGACCCGCAAGGGTACTTGTTAGTTGAAAGGCCCCGCAGGGCCGGTACTTACCTGTGGCCGTGACTTTGAGGGTTGCAGCGGGGAAAACACTCAAGTAGCGGGGGTAGGTCCGCGACACTTAGAGCAGCGGGGAAAAACACTTAAGTAGCAGGTAGGCCGGTACCACTCAGTAGTGGTAGAAGTGTCGGGTACTGGAGGCTGAGCAGAGGAAGACAAAAAGTTGACATTCTTAAAGGCCCAGTAGCGGTAGGTTAGAGGTAGGCCGGTACCAGTCCAAGTAGCCCGGATCTAGGGCCTGTCCGGACGATAGCAGAGCCTGCAATGATGTTTCCCTCCGAAAGGGAGGAGGTACCGGTTGCTGGGAGACCGCTCGGCCTAGGAAGTCACCGCCCAAGAGGCCAGTAGGCCGCTATATCTTCCGGAGGAGCAAGTAGCTCCTCCCCATTTGCGGTACGCAAGGATTGGCGACATGCTGCTGAGCCAAGCGCTGAACTGGTACAGCGCTGCCTGGAGGTGAAGGGCAGCTGGGCTCTCAGCCTGGCTATGGCGAGCAGCCCAGCCTGAGGACGAGGAAGAAGGGGGCGATGGAGGAGAGTGGCGAGGCACCTACCTGGCTATGGTGGACACCATCTTCATCACCTTGTTGGGCGCTGCATATGGAAGGCCCCAGTTGGGGTAGTGCCGCACCAAGGAAGATCGAGGCAGAGTCAGGAATGGCGGCTTAGTCAGCAGCAGCATAGCTGCTTTGGGTTGTCCTTTGGACAGGAGTGCAGCACCATAGCTGCTTGTGTTGTCCTGTGCACAGAGAGGGGCAGAGCCCTCAGTTGTCCGCCATAGCCTAGGCTTGTGAAAAGTGGAAGAAGGGGGGGAAGCCATAGCTATGGTGGACCTGTTGTCGTTGTTGTTGTTGTGTCAGCAGTAAGACGGAACTTCGGATATTGATTCTGGTTCATCCACTCGTTGTTATTATTATTATTGGGAAGAAGAATAAGATTGGAGAAGTTAAGGAGGAGGAGGAAGGTGGAGAGAGAAGGGGGATTTGTCATTGGTCTTGCTGGTGTACATCTACTTCTTCTTCTTCTTCTTCTTCTTCTTCTTCTTCTTCTTCTTCTTCTTCTTCTTTCTCTCTTCTCTGGTCTCTATCTCTTTGCAAGTGCTTTCATTTCTTTCGCAATTGGGTGGCATTGTCCTTCATTGTGAATTTGCACTTTGGGAATGACCAGGATCGTAACATGGTTAATATTCCCCTTACTGCTTTGTGATTGTTCCTTCTTGTTTCTGACAAATAGTGGCAGATTATGTTTCCATATTTCCGACAGATGCAGGCCTCCTGGCCTCTCCTTTATGTTCCATTCTTTTTTTCTTTTTTCCCTTTTTCTTTTTGACTTATCCCTTTTCGCCTCTTTACCTGGTGACCGTTTGTGTCAAGAATTAAAGGAGAAGAGTAAGAAGAGACTCAAGAGAGTCTACAAAAAAAAAAAAGAAAAAAAAAGAGGGGGTTTTAACTTTTTTCTGCATGCCCTTGCTAGATAGAGATCTCCGCCCCAGAGCGATGACTCAGATGAGATGAGGTGTGTTGTGTCTCTGAGCAGGAGGCATTTCGATAAGTCAACCTTTGGATAGTACTGATGACACGGAATTGGAATTGCTTTTGATGATTGGTGTTGTTGTTGTTGTCGTTGTTGTTAAAATGTGCACGCAGGGTGTCTCTGTCACGGGTCTTGTTCATGTCTCAGCGACACCATGACACTGTGCTTTGGTCCGCGGTCAGAAGGAATGCTTCTTTGCCGGCCCCTGTTTTCGCAGCGGATTTCGTCCACCTTCTGTGGGCGGAAGGATGGATAGCAGTGCATCTCCGTGATGGCGTTTCGGCACGCAGCCCTTGCGTTATTTGTCCGCAGAATTGCACTATGATATAGCGCAGTGTTTGCGGATAGACTACTCTGCTGCAGGAAAGCCAGAACCACACCTTTTGTTTTTGGCAGTTGTGGTTCGGTGTTGTGGTCGCGTTCAAGACTACTAAACTCACTTGCGAGCAGGTTTGCCAGCAACACAGAGCAGAGCAGAGCAGAGCAGAGCAGAACAGAGCGGATCCTGACAGAAGCAGTAGCATGATGGAGTCTGACGTCAGGAGAGCTGCCACTGCCGTCGAGTGCGTAGATTGTCATCATCGAAACAATGGGGTGGCAGCCAAGCCCAGTTTGTCACAGGCCTCTGGGACTTCGACTTCTAGCAGCGCATGTGTGCCTCCTGCCTATTGGGGTCTGTTTCTGGCCTTCGTACAGGCGTTGTTAGCGGGGCGGACAGGCAAAATCGGGGGTGGGGTCGCTGGCAGCAGGGGGCCGACCACGCCGGTGCTCATGATGAGATGCCGCCCTACGGCAGCTTTGGGGTGGTTAGTGTTGCTCTGGCTTTGCAGTGGCCATCAGTCGCTTTGCATTCCGGCAGCTTGTGCATTTGCCTGTTCTACGGAAGACTCCTCTTGCCAGGCCTACGCAGTCTATGTGGTTTCCGTCGGCGATCGCCTTGAGGACATCTGCAGCCGATTTCAAGTGACCTTTGCGGATATCAGTGCTGTGAACCCTGTCTGCAATTTTACGCTGCACCCGGGGCAGAACCTGCTTATCCCACTGTCATGTCTATGTAACGACGAGGGTTTCTTTCAGGCTTCCATTCAGCATGTTGTCCGGGATGACCAGACATTGCATGAAGTGGCATCAACATCGTTCCACAATCTTACGACTGCTGAGGACATAGCGGACGCAAGCAGAATCAACACACTGCAGAGTGTGCATGCTGGCCAGTCCCTGCGGATTCCCATTAGCTGCGGATGCAATGCAAGCTCACTCAGTTGGTTGAGAGCGCCATCATATCTGACATACGTCTTGCAGCAGGGCGACACGATTGACAGCGTGGCCAATACTTTTGGCAGCGATAACCAGACGATCCAGAAATCGAACGGTGGAGCGGGGGGGGTGCTTCAACTCAGGCCTGGCATTAAGCTGATCATCCCTTCGAACTGGACGCTCCCAAACGTCAGATCGCAAGACCGACCGCCGATGGTGCCCCGCAACAAAGCGGAAGGAAGCGAGAGTCCGCCCTTGGAGCCAGCATCAAAGCCGGGCAGCGGAAACCCTTCAGAGACAGCCCACACCAGCCTCATGGGCGGAAGTGGGGTGAACGCTGGATCGGACCCGAACCCGAAATCCAGCCACTCGGATGGGAACCAGTTCCCCATTGCAATGGTAGTGGGTGTGCTTGCTGGCGCGGCAGTCGTTTTCCTTATTGCTGCAGTTGCGGCTGTGATATGCCTAGCTCAGAGAGCCGGCAAGCCAGGCGGCGACAACTGGACAGATGTAGATAAGTGGGGGTGGGCCGATTGGCGTGAATGGAGCAGGGGATCAGGGAGATGGGGTCGGTTCTCCAGAGGTTCGGGAAACTCCCGTGGGTCCTTTGGTGGGAGAGGCTGGCGCGGGACATCCATTCCCGGGACAGCAGTTCGGCAGCAGGCCAGCAGCGGTGTCATGAGGAGCTCAGGGAGCACTCTCGGAGGGGTTCCGGCCTCTCTGCGCACCTCTGGCACAGCTCCTGACCTTCTAGGACTGAGGGGTATGGACGATGTTAATCGACTTGGAGGCAGCCAGTTGGACCGGCAACCGGGCAGGGGTTCCCTCAGTGCTTTTGGGGTGGAAGATCCTGCCAGGCTGATTGTGTTCCCGTACAAAGAACTCCTCAAGGCCACGGGACGCTTCAACGAAGTGAACAAAATCGGTGAGGGTGCCTACGGCAGCGTGTACTATGCACGCGTGCGGGGACGAGACGCAGCGGTGAAGAGGTTGAAATCTGTGAAGGAGAAAGAATTCCAATCGGAGCTAGAGATGATGTGCAGAGTCCACCACCGCCACCTCCTCGAACTGCTGGGATACTGCACTGAGCATTGTCTCATACTTGTGCACGAGTATGCGGAGGGTGGGGCCCTGAAGAAACATCTCCATTCGCCTACAACGAATGGCTTTTCGCCACTGCCATGGCGGTCGCGGGTGCAGATTGCTGTGGACGTGGCCTCGGCGTTGGAGTACCTCCACGAGCACACTCGACCAAGCTACGTGCACAGGGACATAAAGTCCAGCAACATCTTGCTCGACAAGGACATGCGAGCCAAGGTTGCAGACTTTGGATTGATTCGGCTGATGGGCTGCGAGGAGGGAAAAGGCTCTATGGTGAGCACGGGCCTCGTTGGAACCGTTGGGTACATGGCGCCAGAGTACCTGAAATGGGGCCATGTCTCAACGAAAGCGGACGTGTATTCTTTTGGTGTTGTACTGCTGGAGTTGATCAGTGGTCAGGAGGCATTGAGCTCCACCATTGACAGTCATTCCTCAACGGTCCAGATTATCGGAGGGGGGGGCTGGAGGCATCACAGACAATCTGACCACATAGGGGGGTCCGGGTCGATGGTCGTCTCGGAGACATCCGGGTCGTTCTTGGAATCGAGCGGCGGCGGTTCCGAGTCGCAATCGGTCTCAGAATCTTTTGCCAACGTTCTCGTGAAGCGGAAGCTGGAGAAAGGCAAACCAGAAAGAGAAAGAGAGCCCCCAAGTGCCAGCGGAGCTGTCGTGGCTGCACAGCCAACAACACCCTTTGAAAATGACCCCCGGAATGTAGCACAGCACGAATCTCCGAGCGGTGCTGCTAGCCGCTGGGGTAACAGCGATGGAAGCCTTGGAAGCCCAAGTGACGGAACCGGTGCTGTTGCCAACGCTGTGCCATCATGTCGAAGCGATTCTTCCCCCAACCCAACCGGGAAGATTCTTTCAGTGAATGGCAAGATGCTCCGACTGCATGGCCTCATGGTAGAGATCGTGCCGGAAGGGGATACCTTTGCCTGCAAACCAGTTCGTGTACAGCAGCAGCAGCCAGTTACCAGTGTTACGGGTTGTGGTGAGCCGGACCCAGTTGATGACGATCCATCGACGACTACACCATTGATGCCAGAGGGTTCGCCTTCAAGCGACAGCAAATCAGGGTCCACCTCTAGGAGGACACGCAAAGGGGGCTTTCTAATGGGTGATAAGGGAGTGGGGAAGGGTTCCAGTAGCCAGGGCAGTGGCAAGGGGAGGGAGAAGGCAGGAAACGTGGAAGTCCAGGGGGAGAATAGTGACGCTGCTGCGGGTGGGGAGGCAAGAGGCGAGATCCAAGAGGAGAAGTCGTCGAAGCTTTCGAAGAGCAACAGCAGCAGATCAAAGAGAACGGCCAGGGGTTCAACCTCTCAGTCTGCACACTCGAAGTCAAAGGGTGGACTGCGGAAGACTCGGGGTAGGCATGGTAAGCAGGAGAAGGCAGTCGACTTCAGCTCCTCACTAGATGTGGGTGCCAGTGTTGGCCGAAGCTGGCCCAGAGGCGTTGTGCAGCGTAAGTCCTTAGCGGAGTGGATCGTTCCAGCCTTTAAGTGTCTTGGGTCTCCCATAGACATCGTCAATCTCGTAGATCCGGACCTTAGGGATCAGTATCCGATAGAAGGGGTCATAAAGATGGCAGAAGTCGCCGTGCGATGCGTCCAAGAGAATCCAGAGGCACGCCCTGACATGAAGCGGGTGGCGTATGAGCTTGACGAGCTCATGCTGTTGACGCAGCGCTGGGAGTCCGCCGGACGGACCACCCCTGGGGGTGCTGATGAGGAGGTGCTCGGAGCGCAATTGCTGAGGTGAGATAATTTCAGCTCGGCTGCTGAGGTCAGTAGTAGTGGTTGGGAGATTTTCTGTTGAAGTCAGTACTAATCATTGTAATGAAGACTGTTGCGAAATCAGTCGGTAGCCGTTGGATCGAGTTTTGACAGCTAGTTACATAGATAACATCCGAAACGGGGATGAAAAAATAGACCTCAGTGAGTGAATGATATATGTGTCCTCGCTCCACTGCTCGACGTTCTACATGCATCTGGATGAGAAGTCGACCTCATACATGCGGACTGATCAGACACTTTGAATGCATTGGGAATATCAACAGGTCCAGAATCCAGATACATTTGGTGTGCTGTGCAGTGGAACGGGGCCCATTGTTGTTCGTGTACCATCCCTCAGCACTCACTTGACGACAAAGATAGATAAGCAGGTCAGTCCCCCTGTCATAGAGTGTATTCTGAATTGCAGTATCTTCTCAAAAGGTGCTTTCAAATTGCTCAGATACCCTTGAGCAGTGGCTGAGCTCCTCCTGCCTGCCAGGAACATCTGCTGCCTATTATGCCTTGTTTGACTTATGTGCTAGGTTAGAATGTAACTAGACACTAATAAAAGGTGTACAATAGGAATGTGGAGGCCTCATATCGATTGATTGGGGTGCGTTTGTGTAAACACCACAAAGGCGTCCGGACCAGGGATGAGAGGAGGGGGGGGGAGGGGGGGAAGGGGGGCTAGTATTGATTGACGCCACGGCGAGGATCAACACGCAACGAATTTGGCGAACGACTCGATTTTGAGTCCTTCGAGCGAGCGATTTTCAGGCACAGACCTCATGTCCAAGGGATGGCTTGCTTTATAGATGCACAACCAACGCTCAACACTGTTGGTTCGTCATCAATGATGGATGTTGCTTGCAGATGAAATTCGCATTCATCCTGCAGTCGTGAAACTTGCATTTTCGTCCAATATGCCGACAATTTTGAGGATGTATTCTCGTAGAGTCTGTAGATGTGAGGGGATGGAATTTCCCCTTGAAAACCAGGTCCGTGCATACGTGACCAGTGCTTTGCCGATTTGACGACAATGTCCATCCATGAGCCACACACCTGCGAAAAATGTAGTTTTTTGCTGAGGACGTCAAGAACTCCAAGCAGCAGTGTAGGTAGACAGAAAACAGACTGGAAACGAGTGGGTTCAGTCTCCTTAGAGGATAGATAGAATAAAGGTCACCCCAATTTTGCTCTTCTTATGTACATGATCAAGCTCGAGGAGAGAAGACAAGGAACTGGGACGCCGAACAGAACAGATCGAGGAGGGACGTCGAAGAGTCTGGAAAAATTGCCGCCACAGGTTTTTTGTGCTTGTCATTTGCGTCCTGCATGTCGGGTCAGCGAACCTGGGATGACGACGAGCGGCATGCCGGCTGGCTTTGCGTTGGATGTTCTTCGAAGCACACGACCAGATGACATGACGACTGTGTGGAGTAATGAATGGTCTCTGCAACTAGCTTTTGCCTTCCCGTGTGTCGTCCTTCCTTCTCATCAATCGGATTCGAGAGAGCGTCTAGCGTTTACAAATTGGTGCCTTCGACGTAATGCATTGCCAATCTCTGTTTTTGGTTGGAGCACGCCGCACCGCAAGCAGAGTGTTGGCCAAACTGGGGTGACCTTTCCGTCCTGGAAATCACATGCCAGAAAGAAAAGCAGAAAGAGTGGACAGAAGTTATAAAAGTGCAACAAAAAGGGAGGGGAAAGGATCATCAATGATGCAAGAAGCAGAGTTTTTTTTAGCAAAGCAACCAATATAGCAATTGGTTCTCGAACGGAACTTTGCGGCACCTTTGCGCCGTAATGGTTGTGCCCGTGGTGGAGGTAGAAAGGCACAAAGTGCCACATAGGTTCGTCTGCAAAGTGGAAGTCGCTGCTCAAAGGGTGAGAGCTGCTCCGAGTCAAGGGGTGACGTAGGTCTGGATGGTACTATTACCAATGTTGTTGTCACCCTTTGTAATTTGCTGAAGGGGTGGCTGAACTGTATGTATCTATGTATCTATGTATCTATGTATCTATGCATGTATGTATGAATGTGTGTATGGAGGTCGTGCGTGTTTGATGAGAGACGAGAGACGAGCTTGACACGTATCGCGGCGTGTTACGTGAAAACATGCGATAAGAAGAAAACATAGCAAGAAAATAAATCCGCCACTACATATGGTGAGACCGAAACGATCCTACAACTCAAGCATCCAAAAGCTATAAAATTTTATTTAAAAAAAAAAACACACCGGCAGCGAGGCAAATGGACGAGAGCCTGTGGGCGCTAGGCCACAAGGCAGCAAATCGGTGAGGCAAGCGTGGCGAGGCAAAATGCAGCAAGGCAGGGGATAGCTAACCAACCAGGCAAGCAGCATGTGATGACAACGGCAGGGTGAGGGGAAAAGGCAGGAAGGCAACACAGAGCGAGGGCAGAAGGCACAAAGGCAACACACAGTGAGGTAAAGGGAGGGCAAGACAGCGAAGGACAAGTTAAGCAACTGCAAGGCACATAGGTTGGAGGGCATGGGGAAGGTGGGTGGGCACACAAACACAGCACCGTCTTCCCCCGAACACAACGCACCCTCATTTTGGCTGTATCTGGCCGGAAGTATAGCTTGTATACATTCATTTTTAGGGTGCGTTGTGTTCGGGGGAAGAGGGTAGGCAGGCAGCAAGGGAAAAGGCACAAACAAAGAACACAGTCAAACTGAACAAAACAACAACAGCATGTCAACAACAACAAACAAAGAGCCGGAAAAAAAAAAAAAAAAAAAAAAAA